TCTGAAAACATCCAGAAACAAAGCCAATCAACTATACCCAACTCACACCACAGTCAAACCCTCAAGGGAAATAAAGAACATAAAAACAAAAAGGCCCATCCAAAGGATGGCAACTTAAAAGGATAAAGACACATCAGCCTTCACAGGTGAGAAAGAACCAGTGCAAGAATTCGGGAAACTCTCAGTCTAGAGTGTCCTCTTATCTCCAAGCAATTGTACTAGCTCTTCAGCAGTGGTTCTTAACCGGATTGAAATGGCTGAAATGACACTGAATTCAGGATCTGGATGTCAAGAAAGCTCATAAAGATACAGGAGAAGGTGGAAACCCAATCCAAGGAAAACAGTAAAATGATCGAAGAACTGGATGACATCGCCATATTAAGAAAGAACCAAACTGAACTTTTGGAACTGAACAATTCAGTACAGAAATATCGTAATACCATTAAAATCATTAACAACAAAATAGACCGAGCTGGGGAAAGAACTTCAAAGTTGAAGAACCACTCCTTTGAATCAATGTAGGCAGACAAAAGTAAAGAAAAGGGGCCAGGCATGGTGCCTTACACCTGTAATCTGAGGCATGAGGTCGAGGCCAAGGCAGGTGGGAGGCCCAGGCAGGCGGATTGCTTGAGCTTAGGAGTTCAAGACCAACCTGGGCAACATGGCGAGACCCTGTCTGCAAAAAATACAAAAATCAGCTGGGTGCGGTGGCACACGCCTGTGGCCCCAACTACTTGGGGGCTTGAGGTGGGAGGATTGCTTGGACCTCGGAGGTCAAGGCTGCAGTGAGCCATGATCACACCACTGCACTCCAGCCTCGGTGACAGAACAAGAATGTGTCTCAAAAGAAAAAAAGAATTTAAAAAAATGAAGGAAACCTCTGAGACATATGAGATTATGTAAAGAGACCAAACTTTTTCAGGCATTCCTGAAAGAGAAGGAGGGTAAACAACTGCAGGACATATTCGAGGATAGGGTCTACAAAAATTTTCTCAAAAAAAAAAAAAAAAGTACCAAAAAAAAGTAATTTAAGTTTTCTAAATATTAGGAAACAGTAGTCCAGGTGGTACATGGATGTACATGGACATGAACAAATACCCATAAATGGACGTGATGGGACATGTGTCTCCAACAGACTCTGAGCTCCATGTGGTTGGCCAGGGTCTGCACAGGGCCTGACATGTAGGAGACGTGAGACTCAGGTGTAAAGGACTCTGGTCAGAGGTGGTGCTCATTCTCCTATCTGCAAATGCTGCCCCTATTCCTAATGCTTCTGTCAGATAATGGCAGTTGGCTCTTGGCTTTCAGATCATCTCTGTCATATTGTTTTTTCCCTTTATTTTCAAAGCAAAACAAAGGGGTGGTAATGTGCAAAGGTTTTCATCTCTCATCAACAGCTTTCTGCACTAATTTCTAATGGATCAAAAACTTCCTTCCTCGGCCATGACTTTTATCACCCTACCAATGCCAAAAGAAAACCCCCGGCCTAATAAGGGCTTGGCTCAGCTGCATCACTGCCAAGTAGCACAGGTCTCTCTCCACGCCGCACTCCTCGATGTGATGTCAGCACCGTGTCACAGGGCTGTGCATTGAGGGAACTCTGACTTACATTGTATACTCTGCCATCTTCTGCTCTGTAGAACCGTGGAAACAGACCATCAGCATACCGAGACGCCACAAGTCTCCCCAGAGACGCCACATAATCTGCATTTTTATAAAGAAAAACAATCAAAACAGTAGTACATGAGTGAACCTTCTTATTTTTATTTTGAAACGTTTTTCTCTGACACCATTCAAATTATATCTTGTGCTGTCAATAATCTGTGATGCTTTCTCTTCTGTTCTAAATCATGAAGTATTTCTAGGTGCTGTGATAAACATAACTGTCTATGGCATTGTAATCTTTTTTTTATTATTATACTTTAAGTTCTAGGGTACATGTGCACAACATGCAGGTTTGTTACATATGTGTACATGTGCCGTGTTGGTGTGCTGCACCCATTAACTCGTCATTTACATTATGTATATCTCCTAATGCTAACCCTCCCCGAGCCCCCCACCCCCCGACAGGCCCTGGTGTGTGATGTTCCCCATCCTGTGTCCAAGTGTTCTCATTGTTCAATTCCCACCTATGAGTGAGAACAGCATTTTAATCTTTTAATGCATGAATAAACAGGAAGAATAGGATTTGTGTCCTAGTGTCCTTGTACTTTGGTCCAGAATAATTACAGCAGAGGTTAAAAAAAAAAAAAAAAAAAAAAAGCAACGTAGAAATTATTTTAATTCCTGAAAGTTATTCATGACTTGGACTTAGTTTTCAGGGTTTTTAAAATTTCACTTAGATATTTCCTACTGTACTCTCAACTGGAGGGTCAGAATTAAATCACTGAAATAAAGCCAGCCGGTAATAGATTCAGAATTGCCATACAGAATGTCAGAACTACAAGATTTTCTTCTCATCAGATCATATGCTCAGCTGTTCAAATATCTGTTGCATAAACCCTTATTGGGTGCCTACCATGTACTAGGCATGTTTACAGGATGGGAATACAATTGTTACCTACAACATAGTCCTACTCCTTCATGGAACTCTCAGAAGGCTACGGAGAGGCTTCAAAGACTGACTAGGATTTGGCAGGACAGAAGATGAGGTAAGTCTTCACAGAGATGTTTTTAATCTGACGATTATTTTATTGTAATTTTAATTATTGTTTTTAAGTCCCAAAGGTGGGAGACAGAATGGTGGTACTTGTGGTGCCGGTACTTCCTTCCCTCTGCCTTACTAGGGAGGCAGGATAACAGCCTCCTCTGGAAATCTAAAAAGAGCAAGGCTGAATTTTATAGACACCCTGGCCAGGCTTGCTCCCCAATCACAAGGGCTGATTTCAAGTCTTCACAATAGTAAGGAGTAAAGAGTAAAGAATAGACACTTGAATTCCATCAGCAATAATCTCACTCAATAGACCTCTCCAGCTCTAAAATTTGTGTTTCCAAGATTCACCTTCTTAGCTGACATTGATGAAGTGAGTAAATATCACTAGCATTCTCTGTTTACCTAAGACATTTGTCTGGAGTTGGGAGAGGAAGCTGTTTTTTGAGGCTTGAAGGAAATAAGTCTATGGGAGGCTTCATAAGCTGTATTGGGAATTGAAATGCAAGGCATTGTGAGTTCTGCATCCAATAACAGTGGAGTAGCTTGTATTGGCTAACCTTCACACAGAAAAATATTATAAATTCTGGACAAAATATAAAAGGAGCTATTTGTAGGCATTAGAGAGCAATCTAGAACATGCAGAAACTGGAATCACAATCATCCTAAAAAGGAGGACATTTTTAAGGTGAGATTTGTATATATTTAGCAGGAAAGAGAGAGAGTTTGGAGTTTGAGTCCAGCCAACTTAACTGCCTGCTAGAATGAAAATCAGCTCTCCATCTATCAACTGATAAATGGATAAGAAAATCATGGTACATCCATACAATGGAATACATACGGCTGCAAAAACGAATAAAGCATTGGTGCTGGTTACAACATGGATGAACCTTAAAAACATTAAGCTAAGTAAAAGAAACCAGTCGCAAAAGACCACATATTATAAATTCTATTTGAATGAAATGCTCAGAACAAGGAAATCTATAGAGACAATTTAGGGGTAGGAAAGTGTAGAGCTAAGAAGTACAGAGTTTCTTTTTGAGGTGATAAAAACATTCTAAATAGTTGCGCATATCCGTGAATACACTAAAACCACTGAATTGTAGGTAGGTAAATTATAGCTCAATAAAGCTGTTATAAATAATATATACATACCAATTTTTGTAAGAATAAAAATCACTTCTCCTAGAAGGAGGATTATACAGTTGATCCTTGAATAACATAGCTTTGAACTGCACGGGTCTACTTATATGCAGATTTTTTTTCAACCAAATGTGGATAAAAATACAGTATCAGTAGAATGTGAAACCCACTCATACAGAGGGCCAACTTTTCATATACGTGGGTTGCGAAGAGCCAACTGCAGGAACTGAGTATGCATGGATTTGGTATACACAGGGGGTCCTGGAACCAATCTTTTGCATATACCAAAGGAAAACTATACAACCCAAAGTCCCTACAACCATCCACATTGTCCAGCATAAAACAAAAAATAATCAGATACATAAACAAAGAGAAAAATGTGACCAATAGTCAAAAGAAAAAGCAATCAATAAAACCTACCCTGAAATGGACCAGACGTTGAAATTACAAGAAAAAGGCCTCAATATATTTTAAGTATACTGTAAACATTGTGTTTTATACATATATATATATATATAATGTTGAAGGGAAAGAAAACTGTGATCCTAATAAGTGAACAAATGGGGATCTTAGCACAGAAACTGAAAAGAAGGGAAATTTTAGAACAAAAAGTACAGTATCTGTATGGGCTTCACAGCAGATTGGAGGTACCAGAATAAAGTGCTAGTAACCTAGAATATCTGTCAAGAGAAATTACTCAATCTGATAAACAAAGAGAAAAAAAATACTGACAAAATGAACAAGAGTTTCAGTGACCTGTGGGACAATATCAAGATGCTTAGCAAACTATAACTTGAGTCTCAGAAGAAAAAGAGAGAACAGATAGGATGTAAAAATAGATTAGAAGAAATAATAGTTGCAAATTTCCAAGATTTGATTAAAAACAAACCTACAGATCCAAGAAGCTCGATAAATCCAATGCAATATATGTACAAAGAAGACCAAAAGAAGGCATATCCTACTACAAATAATAATACAATAGCTGAAAACCAAGAAAAAAAAGGAAAAATCTTAAAAGCAGTCAGAAAAAAAGATACATTATATACATCACATACAGGGAAAATGTTATGGATTATGTCTGATTTCTCAGATGAAAAGGTGGAAATCAGAAAACAATGGCTTGACATGTTTAAAG